CCGGCTATCACTGCTGTTAGTAGCTGCCGAACGAAGAACCGGAAAAGTCGTGTCAGTAACGAAGAAGTCCGGCGACGATGTGACTGGCGATTAAGGACCTTCAGTAGGACAACGGCGGTGAAAGGCAGTGGACGACTTATGGGGCTGACGTGGAGTTGAAGGGGCTTGGCGAACGAGGACGGTTGTGGAGCGACGACGGCGACCACCATCAACAGGCGAATATCCTCACAGTTCGAATTCGTCCCTGAGACGTGCGTACGCGCCCGGATCATCGTTCTTGAGGCGCTTCAGATTTCTGGCGCATTCCCGCGGATCATCTTCTGCGTGCCTCTTGCGCCTTGGCACTGGCGGTGTTACTTCAGGGACGGCCGCTTCCGGCTCTCCTGAAGAACGATTCACTGGAGATCGACCGCATACGAAGAAGAGTGGAAAAACAGATATTCGAAGAAAAAGCAAACAACGGTTCAAGGAAGAACCAATCAAGTACAAAGAGCAGAGTCTAACCTGGTACATAAATCGTCTCGAGCTCCTCCCTTCTTCCCAGGAGCGCGAGCTCGATCTTCTGGGCCCTGCGCGCTTTCATCGTGGCCTTCGGGGCCATTGCGCACCAGTCCTGCTTGTGTCGTCGCAGGGCCGCTCGCACTTGTTCCGGCGTTGCACCATCCGGAACTACCAGGTAGCAGCGACACTGATGGCAAAAGCCTGTGAAAAGAAACACATTCAGAAAGTGCTGCGTTTCGAAGAATGTCCACCAAAAACTGACAGCAACTGCAGATTCCTAACGCATTATTCTAAAATTAGCACACCAAAGTGCACCAATTCACAATGCCTCGCCAACGGCGACAATGCGCGGGGGAGGCTTTTGATAACTATTCCGCAAGACATAAAATAGTTGAGAAACAAAAGAATGCATTATTACTCACCATTGTGGTAGTGGTCGCGAGATAGCGACACGTGCGCTTTCCACCCGCGCAACGTGCCGAATTGTCGTCCGCCGCATCCGGGCAAGCGGCATTCTGAAACACACAGAATGAGCCCGTTGAAAGTGAGAAGTATTCATCAAGCAAGCACACTCTTGCTTTTATCCTACGAATTTTCCGATGCGTTAAGGAGCTGGTAAAACTGATAGAAGGAGCTGGTAGGGACTGGTAAAAAATTTTTAGAAACATTTTGATAACAGTTAATAATTACCAAAGTGACGGTGTCCATCACCGTCCACATAGTCCCGGTACGGCTGCTCCGCCGATCTTCTTGCCGCCGCGCGGAACGGTGCCGGCATATCCGCCGGCAGTTCGGGGACCTCAGGCGGAGGCGTTGCTCGTCCTCCAACTCTTCTGCCATTGACAGCCGGGATGCGCATTCTGATCATGCGCGTGCGCCTGTAAAAAGCAACCATGGAATTCATTTTATCCACAGATTCTGAACAGAGAAAAGCTGCGCCATTAGAAAGCTACGGTAGACATGACTCCTTTCTCATCACCACTCCCTCCCC